AGCTCGCCCGCAGTCACTTTAAGTCCACAGAGCGGGGTTCCCCGCTAGAGGGGCAAGGGGATCACGTCCCGAAGGGGGACGGGCCTCGTCGCCCCAGGCAGCCCCCAGGCCATCCGTGTCCAGGGGCGCTCGCATCCATGAACCACATTAGGGGGCCCTTTTCGAGCTGCAGAGCCCCAGCTGGGGCACTCGAAGACTTGGACCCCCCACGGGCCTTTACCTTTACCTCCTCCTCCTCCTCCTCCTCGTCCTCGTCCTCCTCCTCCTCCTCCTCCTCATCCTCCTCCTCATCCTCCTCCTCCTCGTCCCGGGACCATCACCAGAAGACATCCGCGACGGGAGCGCAGGTCGGAGGAGATCGGTGGCGAAGTCCGAGCCCGTGCCCTCTCCGATCAGCGATGCGAGCAGCTCGATGGGCGGCGGGTGTCGGGTTCGGAGTCTGTCGAACTCTTCCTCCTCCTCCTCCTCCTCCTCCTCCTCCTCCTCCTCCACCTCCTCCTCCTCCATCCTCATCCTCCTCTCACTCTCCTTCCTCTCCTCCTCCTCTCCTCCTCCTCCCCCCTCCTCCTCCCCCCCCCTCTCCACCCTCCATCTCCCCCTTCCCCCTCATCCTCTCCTCCTCCTCCCCATCCTCCTCCTCCTCCCCTCCCCCCTCCTTTTACTCCTTTTCCTCCTCCTTTTCATCTCCCCCCTCTCAGCCTCTCCTCCCTCCCCTCCTCCCTCCTCCTCTCCTCCTCCTTCCTCCTCTCTCCTCTCCTCCTACCTCACTCCTCCTCCTCCTTCCTCCTCCTCCTCCTCCCTGCTGCCCATCGATCCGGGAGAATCGATGGTTGGTGGGGGTAGGGTTCGGGGGGGGATTGCGAAAAGGGGGGATACGAAATCAGCTGCACGCATGCAGCTGGTTTCGGCCCCGCCGCAGGGGCCCTCACAAGCCTGTGGGTTGCACAAGCTTTTGGATCGCAGTCCCATCCGCAGCCAGTTTGGCGCCAAGGGGCCGGTTGGGCTTCTTAGCGTTGTGAGAATGGTTATCTCAGTGTTGTTGACATTGGTGTTGTTGGTGCCGCTAAGAGTGCTGCGCATGGTGCTGCTGCTTGCCGAAGTGCTGGTCACAGTGGTACTGTTTCCAGTGATGCTCTCGTCACGCTGGTACTCCTCGTTGCGTTTGTGCTGGCACGCCAGCCACATCAATCATTGCGAACGTTGTTATTGCTTCAGCGCCAGCCACATCCATGACTGCAGACGTCACTCTCGCCACAGCGCCAGCCACATCCTCGACTACGACGGGTCCTCTCGCCCCAGCGCCGGCCACAGACATGATTGCGAGTGTTGTTCTCGCTTCAGCACCGGCGACATCCATGATTACGAATGTTGCCTTCGCCTCCGCGCCGGCCACATACACGATGCGAAAATTGCTCTCGCCTCAGCGCCAGCCACGTCCACGATTGCGAAAGATACTCTCGCCTCAGCGCCGGCCACATATAACATGTATATATATATACATATATATATATATATGCACATGGGCCGACTGTGGTTTGTGTCGGGCGGAGCGGTTGCTGCAGAGGCCATGCTGGCCAGGGCCCCGCCATCGCAGCGAGCTGCGGCCCCGTCCCAGGCGAGGAGCGCGGCTCCGCAGCGCAGAGAGCGCAGCGTGGAGAAGCCTGGGCGCAGGCAGCTGATGAGTGGAGGGAGGGGGCGGGGGGGCCGAGGGCGAGGGGGCCAGGGATCATCGATAAAAAACAGCCGTGCAGATGCAGACGTGGCCTCACTGAGGCCCCCGCCTCTGCTTCAATCAGGGGAAACAAGATCCTGGGCGGTTTGGCTCGAGACATCTGCAGTGAGAACCCCATGTCCCTGATGTTTCTGGCCCTCCCAACTTGGGCCCGCTCCCAAAGGATGAGGGGTCCTTCTTGGGTTGATCATGGGAGGGGTTCCCGCCAGCGGCGCGGCGCGCGCCTCGGCGGCAGGCGCGAGATCCCGAGCGGCAAACACGCGGAGCCGCGAGGCGCGCGCTCACCGAGTCCAAGGCGTCGAAGGCGCCCCCCGGGGCGAGGGGCAGAGGCCGCCCCGGGGAGGGCCCAGGCAGGCAGCCCTCGACCAAAAGGTACCTCAAAAAGCTGGCTGCGTGGTTTGCTGATGCTCGGCGGCGAGCGCAGGGGGGGAGTGAGAAGGAGAAGGCCTTCTCAGAAGGCGGCGGGACTTCGCGAAAGCCCTCGCGCCTTCTGAGAAGTTCTTCGTGTCTTCGGGGAGGGCTTGGAACACTTCTCAGAAGGCAGGCGGACTTCCGAACCTCCTGGGAAGGCCTTCTCCTTCTCACTTCCCCCCATCGCTCGCCGCCGAGATGCATGTGGGCTTGGGCGGTGATTGCACTGAGCGCGACGTGCTTGATGGGGCCTCCTCTTCTTCAATTTCGGGTAGTGTAAGACTTTGAGCCCCGCCCCCGCCCACAGCGTGGTTCGGCTTGATTCGACGCTGAAAGGTGGCGGCAGCACTGAGAACGGCACGTTAACAACTTTTAGTCTCGATTTGGTCGAGGGCTGTAGGAAGAAGGTCAAACCGCTCCAGAACTTTCCAGAATGCCCAGACAACGTCTCAGAGCGCTCTGGAACAGGTGCGGTGCCCGATGTGCCGCCCAGACCAGCAGACCCTCAGAGGTCCCGAGTGACCTCCGCCCGATGTTGTCTTATTCCTTTTGGCGTTCAGCGAAGACTGGCCAGCCAGATGCCCGGGGTGGCCCCTCGCATGAGAATCGTCGCCCCGCTCGGGCTGCGCGGCTGTGCCCGCCTCACGGGATCTCCAGCTCGATTCTCGCAAGCACTGGGGCGCGAGGAGTCCTACGTCTTGAATTTGCGTTTGCTTCCCCGTCCTGGAGGAGCGATTGAGAGTCAGGGCCTTGCTTGTTCATGTGGCTACTCCTCTTGGTGGGCCCTCGCTGCCATGGCAGTGCGAGCACCGGGAGATCTGTCAGGACGGAGCCCCTTGAAGGCGTTTCGAGTTACTGTTGAGAAAGAGGCCAAGACAACCAGGCTCAGCTCTGCCACCATCGAAGAAGAACGCGCGTGCGCGTGTAGAAATCAGCAGTAGTCTTACGTCGGGCGTGTCCCCGTACAGGCGGATTTAGGGCGAAAAATTACATTACCCCAGTGCGACCCTACCTAGAAGTTGGAGCCCCTAGGAAAGCAGCTGTCGTTGCTATGCTATGCTATGCTGCGCTATGCTATGCTATGCTATGCTGCGCTATGCTATGCTAAGCTATGCTATGCTAAGCCATGCTATGTTAAGCCATGCTATGTCATGCTGCGCTGTGCTATGCCATGCTAAGCTGCGCTATGTTATGCTATGATATGCTATGCTATGATATGATATGCTGCGCTATGTTATGCTATGCTATGCTATGCTTGCTATGTTATGATAGGATATTATGTGTTAATGCAGCGCTATGCTAAGCTAAGCTAAGCTAATATAAGCTAACCCTCTAGGCAGAGCCTAGGTAGGGAATTACACCCATGCTGATATGCTATGCTACGCTATGCTATGCTGTGCTCTGCTATGCTATGCTATGTTATGCTAAAGCTCAGCGAAGCTAAGGTGAAGGTAAGCTAAGCTAAGATAAACCTGAGCTGAGATGAAGCTAAGCTAAGCTAAGATGAAATAAGCTAAGCTAAGATGAGATACGCAACGCTAAGCTAAGGGGACGCAACTGGGGGAACCGCGGGGCGGATGCTGGGGGAACCGCCCGGGGCGGGGTCCACTACCTGGCCCCTTTAAGCCCACAGAGTAAGAACCCTTCTAGGCAGAGCCTAGGTAGGGAAAAACACCCCACAACAATACCCCAAAATAGTCAAAACAAATATTCCAAAAATAGTCCCCAGACTATTTGTTTGACTATGTTTGGATTTTCCCCCTGTCGAGGGACAGGCCCGACTTAACAGTAGCCCTCGCGCCCCCGCCAAAAGGTGATGTCAAATATGTAGTGCGCTGTGCGGGCCACACGCGCGCGTTTTCCCCCGCACGGACACATGTCGTGTCGAGAGATCCGTGGAAGTCCACTGCTTGGTTGCCTAAGCGTTTCGAGGACGGGAGTGGCCAAGCACGTGTTCTGAGAGCCGACGCTCCAACAAAAATTGGAGCGGCGGGATTTTAGCAGTTTTCGGCCTCTGGGGGCCCTCGCCGGACCTCGGGAGCGTCAAAAACGATTCAGGACGAAAAACCGGTCCCGGGAAGCGGTCAGGACCTCCGGGGCACACGCACCTAAACAAATGGAGCAGCCGGATGTCTGGGTGTTCTGAGAGCCACGTGTCGTCGACGCAGAAGCTGCGAGAGTTCATGCGCGCGCGGCCTTCTTCGCCATCCTGCATCAGGACCGTCGTCATCAGCACCGCCGGTGTCGTCCATGCGCTTGGCGTGATCGGCATCTGCATCGCCATCGCCATCGTCGTCACCGTCATCACCATCGTTGGTACCATTGCCGGCGTTGTCGTCGCCCTCATCATCTTCGCCGTCATGATCACCACGACCACCACCACCACCACCACCACCACCACCACCATCATCATCATCATCATCATCATCATCATCATCATCATCATCATCATCATCATCATCATCATCATCATCATCATCATCATCGTCATCGTCATCGTCATCGTCATCATCATCATCAGTAGTAGCAGCATCATCAGCAGCATCATCATCATCATCAGCATCGTCAGAATAATCATCATCAGCGTCAGCGTCAGCGTCAGCGTCAGCATCAGCATCAGCATCAGCATCAGCATCAGCATCAGCATCGTCGCCGTCGCCGATGCCGTGTTCACCATCATCACCCGTCCGCCCGAGTGATGGATCTGCACTGTAAGGGCCGCCGCGTCACTTCGCCAGTTGGGCTTAGCTAGTAAACTGCGGGTGGGTTGGTTGGATGGTTGCTCGGGCATTGGAGTTGGAGTTTGCGCCCCCAAGTTCTTCGATCATTCATGGCACCACATGCATTTTGCACCGCATAGGTTGCATCGCACATAGACTGGACCGCATAGAATGCATCTCGCGGGTTGCACTCCAGAAGCCCGCACAGCTAAACAACGTAGTCCGTGATATATGGTAGGGACATGATGTGTGGAGGTCAGACCTACATGCGGCACAGTGGCTTCATCTTTAAATATTCGCCAGGTGGCCCTGAGGCGAATGCCAGATCCGTGTTCCTTGATAGCAAGTTGCATGGCGGGCGAGGGATGATGCAAGGAGCAGGCCACCTCGTGCGTACACGGGTCCGATTGAGTTTTGTTATGACAGGATGCGTTCCCAACTCAATTCCAACGCCGGTCATGTTGTTTTCAGGAGGTCTAGTGCCATTGATGGTCGCTCGCATTCTTCTGCGTGCACGGATTTCTGCACCAACAGGAGATCATGCGATTTCCGGGCTTCAAGGGGAGCAACCGGGAGACGTTGCTCAAGTTGGAGCACGACGCGCTGCTCATCAAGAAATTGTCTGATGTCGGGTCCTTCTGGTACGAAAATTGGTGAGGCGACGATAGGACAATGGGTAATATGAAGGGATGGCGGTGGTGATGTACCCCGGCATCCGCCCCGAAGCAACACAAAGCCGAGAAGAAGCATGACAGAACCTCTTGACCGCACCTTCACATTGAAAGTTCTGAGCCAGATCGATCTCGCCCCCCCGCCCGCTTGTCAGGGTCACCCAACCCCGCCTTGTTCGCGTCCCGCCCGCCCATTCGGGTCAGCTCGCGTGCAGGCCCGCCCACTTGACTGTCCCGCCCACCCATTAGGGTCCGCCCCCCCCCGCCCGTGAGGGTCCACTGGCCCGCCCGAGCGCCCCTCGCATCCATTTCACGGCGCGCGGATGTAACTTCTTCGCGAGGTCATACGGCAGGTTCGCGCCACGCTGGCGCGGCGTCGACCCCAGCGCCTGGGCGTTCCAGGTTGACCGCCGCCGGTGACCCAGAGTTGGCCGATACCGAACGCTCTGCGCCATCGGAGGCCTCGCTCGTCCAAGGCAAAGCCGAGCCACGAGGTGTCAGAAACCAGCGCCGACGTCGCCGCGGCACGTACGAGCGCGACGGAAGCCCTGTGGAACAACGAGGATGGACGCGGAGGCGCGGAGAGGGGAGCGGGGTTAAGTCGGGCCTGTCCTTCTACAGGAGGAACATCCCAAAATAGTCCAAAAATAGTCTGGGGACGAATTTTTGACTGTTCTCGACTACGTTTCGAATCTATTATGATTATTTCTGTCGCCCAAAACCCGCCTACAGGAGGGCATGCCCGACCCAAGGGCGGGGAGAGAGCAGCCGAGCAGAGAGCAAGGCCGGCCGCGCGGCAGCAGCCTGGAGCAGCGCCCCTGGGACGGTGCCAGGCCCCCTGAGACCAGGACAAGGAGGGAGGAGGAGGAGGAGGAGGAGGAGGAGGAGGAGGAGGAGCAGGGAGGAGGAGGAGGAGGACGAGGAGGAGGAGGAGGAGGAGGAGGAAGGAGAATGGAGGGACAGGAGGGAGGAAGGGGGCAGGACGGAGGGAGGAGCAGGGAGCCTGTGGTGGGTGACTGCTCCCCGTCGCGCACTTTTTTACCATCGCAAGAGGAGCCCTGTGGCAAGAGAGGGAGAAACGACGACGAAAGACGACACGACAGAGGGAAGGCGCTCCCCAGCAAGGCGCGTGCTAAACGGTACTTGGGCGAGTTCGTGGGCCGTTCTCATGTCGACAGCGTTTTGTGGCAGAGGCGGAATACAGACAGAACGAGCAGACGCGAGCACAAAGCGAGAGCGGAAAACGCTGTTTAGCCAGCGCCCTGCTCCAAAGATAGCACCTCCGTGAGAGTACGGGCGAGGGCTCGGGAGCGGATCTCATGCGGCGCTCGGGGGCGGGCTCTCGCCACGGAGGACCCCGGCCCCGATGATCCACAGTTCCCTGTCCTTTCTCTACCACTCTCGGAGGCCTGGAGCTTGGCACCAACACCAGTGTCGGCGGTGTGCCTCCACCGAGGGAAGAGGACCCCGATCTCGGCGATGGCGGCCGCAAGATTACCACCAGCACCAAACTTGAGGATCATCCTGCCCTGGTGGGCGCAACCCCATGTTTTTGGGGTCGGTGCCCATCTTCAAGCCTCCAGCAGTCCATCTTGCTCCGCCCCTCCTTCGCAGAGCCCGGCCTGCCCAGACATCCAAACGCATTGAGGATCTCAAGACTGTTGTGCTCGTAGTTTTCCGCCGCCCGGGGCCCTTGCCGGGTCGGGAGGGGGGGAACCGTCCTTGGGGAAAGGGTCGAGACTTCGGGGGGGAACCGTCTTTGGGGGAAGGGTCGAGACTTCGGGGGACCTCGTTTTGGAATCTTCCTGGCGATACGCCCAACCACGTGCAGTCAGGAGCCCCACAAGGGAGATGAGACGAAGGAGGTGGGCAAGCAAGCTGTGAGTGCCTATCGGTCGGAAGGAGTAGGTAGAAACATGAAGTAGGAAGGCGTTGAATGTAGATTTGGTGTCCACCCGCCCCCTAAAGAGGACAGAAAAGGTGAAGCCACTCGATCATTGAAGTAGGAAGGCGCTTAAATTAGTATGGAATCTGGGACTCCAGAAACATTTACTTTCAACGACCGGTGGGTAGCGTAGGACACAGCCTCTGCTATCATGGGCAGCGCACTGCAGGAGGGACGAGGCGCAGTGCAGTGTGGGCAGGGGGCGGTGGGCGGAGCCAGGAGGGTCCACCAGTAAACTCGATCACCGGCTTGGTGAGACCCAGCATCGGGGAACACAAGAATCGGCGGCGGCCAAGAGGGAGGTGATGATTAGGGGGGGGGGGATACCATGGCGTGGGCCATGGTATTTCCTCGGATTTCATGGCGTCTCTTCTGATTGCACTACATCCCTGGCCCCCCCCTGGGCCGCGCACATGCTGCCAGCCATGATTTGCGCCCCCCCCTTCTTGGTCGCCCCCAGCTTGGCCGCCCCCCGAAGAAGCATTCACGAACCCCCTGGACAGGGGGCAAGGGAAACTCGAGCAGCGAAAAAGAGCGAGACCATGGGGAGCACGCGAGCAGAGGGCAACTACGCTAGAGCTCCCCGTGGGGCCACGAAGCGTGTGAGGGGTGTGCTTAATCGGGGGCGGGCGCTCCATGCGAAAACGGCCACGGAGGACGTCGGTGGAGTTCCCTATGGGGTCACGCAACGTGTGATGGGTGTGCCTAATCGAGGGTGAGTGCGCCGTGCGAGTGCAGCCACGGCGACCTTGAGTGGAGCTCTCTATGGGGCCACGAAGCGCATGAGGGGTATGCCGAATCGGGGGCGGTGCGCCAAACGAACGCAGCCACTTGAGCCTTCAGTGGAGCTCCGTGTGGGGCCACGAAACTTGTGAGGGGTGTGCCTGATCGGGGTCGGGTACGCTATGCGCAGGCAGCCACTGCGGCCTTCAGTGGAGCTCCCTATGGGTCCACGACACGTGTGAGTAGTGTGCAGAATCGGGGGCGTGTGCGCCATATGAGCGCAGCCGCTGGGGTCTTCGGTGGAGCTCAATATGGGGCCACGAGGGTGCAGTGTGCCGAATCGGGGGGCGGATACGCCATGTGAACGCATCCGTTGATGCCTTCGGTGGAGCTTGCCATGGACCCACGAAGCGTGTGCGGGGTGTGCCGAGTCGGGGGCGGGTACGCCAATGTAGCCATTGCGGCTTTCGGCGGAGGTCCCTCTGATTTTTGGCCGCAGTATGCGCTCAGCATGCTTGCCCGAGCTCGAGGGTTGCAGGACCCCGAGAAGCATCCGGGGCCCGAGCAGATCTGAAAAGGATGCTCATGCAAACCCGCCAGACTTGGCTGAGGATATTTGGTGGCTGCTTTTGCCCCGCCGGCGTGGCGGGGGTATCCTTGGGGGTTGTGAGGCAAGGTGAAGCCGAGGGCCTCTCTCTGACCTCTTTTGTTCGCCTCTCTATGACTATTGTTTCTCTCTCTCTCTCTCCCATTTTCTCCCTCTCTCCCCCTCTCTCTTGCACCGCGGCGGAGTGTGGCTGCGCTTGTACGGCTTGAAAGGAAGAGGAGGAGGAGGAACGATTGGCACTAGTATTTGTCATACAAGCAACAACAACAACAACAGCAATGATAATACCCATAACACTAGCAATACTAACAACAACAAGACTAGCAACAACAACAACAACAACAACAACAACAACAGCAACAACAGCTACTACTACTACTACTACTACTACTACTACTACTACCACTACTACTACTACTACTACTACTACTACTACTACTACTACTACTACTACTACTACTACTACTACTACTACTACTACTACTACTACAGCCACAACAACACCAACAACAACACCAACAACAACAACCGCAACAACAACAACAACATCAACAACAACAACAATACCATCAACAACAACACTAACACTAAAGCAAACGCAACAACATCAACACCAGTGACAACAGCACAAATCATAATAACGCTATTAATACGAACGTCAATCCTAATAATGAGGCTGGTAATGGTAATGATGTTAATAGTAATACTTTGAATTGTAATGGCACGACTAATGCGAATGGTGATGCGAACCGTATGAGTAGCAACCGTAATCATAAAAAAAGCCCTCATATTCATCATCAGCATCATCATAATCATCATCACCATCATCTTCAACATCAGCATCATCATCATCATCATCATCATCAGCAGCAGCAGCAGCATCAGCAGCAGCAGCATCTATATGAAGAAGGAGGATAATACAAATGATAATAAGAAGAAGAAGACGCTGTCCCCGCAGGTCCATGCTGGACGCCTGGCTGGTGCACTGCTGCTTCCGCTCCTGGGTCGTGCAGTCGCCGCAGCTTCAGGCCCTGGCCGTAGCCGCGGTTGTCCCCCCAGCGGAGTGCTGGGCCCTCGAGGATCCAGCCCTGGGCGATCGAGGACCTTCGAGCCTCAATACCCATCGGTCGCTGAAAGTTGGTATTTCTGGATTCCCAGATTCCAATACACTTCAGGCGGCTTCCTACTTCAATGATCGAGTGGCTTCACCTCTTCTGTCTTCTTCAGGTGGGCGGGCGGACACCCAATCTACTATCAACGCCTTCCTATTTCATGTTTCTACCTACTTCTTCCGACCAGTGGGTATGTCTTATCCGGGGCTTTTCCAGAACGCTGTTTAGGGCATCCCCGTGGACGGCTTTCATTCCGATGCGGCTTGCGATCTGTCCTTTTTTCTGAGCCACAAACATGGGCGCCGATCGCGGCTCCGCAGGTGTACCAGAATCGCTGCTTGGGGGAAGTTTCCAAACTGCGTCCGTCATGACACGAGGGCGAGACGAAGACACAAGACGCTGCCATGGTCGACCCCTTCCCCCCGATGTCAAGCTACGCTACGCTACTCCCGATCGGCCCGGAGGCCGTGCCAATCTAGAGCTTGGCCCGTGCCTCCGGCACCCAGTCAATTACGCGATCGTCGTGCATGGCTTGCTTCACGGGCAGGCGGGAGCGGGAGCAGGAGGAGGGGGAAGGGCTAGACCTAAACGGTGTTGTGCTGGACTTCGGCTGTGTTTTGTTCTTCGTTTTGGGAGGGCGGTGCAGGAAAGCAGGCAGAGCAAAGCAACAACCCAAACCAACACACAACGTTCAGGTCCACCCCTGGGAGGGGAGGGGGGGGGGGGAAGGGGGGAAGGGGGGGGGGGGGAAGGGCACGGGGCGAAGAAGCCGCTCAGCTCTCGCCCGCGGGGCGACCGCCACGAAGCGCGCACCCCACAGCAAAACATCTGCTCCCGGGGGGGCCGCTCCCCGCCGAGACCGCCACCCTCCCGGGCCACTCCCCGACGACCTCCCTCCGGAGCCGGCGGCCCGAGGCGGGCCCCCCGGGGAGGCCGAGGCGGGCCCAGCGGAGAGCCGCCCGCTCTCGGCCCCGTCGAAGGGCGCGGTCCCCCCCCCGGGCGTGCGGCCTCCCCCGGCCGAGCCCGGGAGCCGAAGGAGGGGAGGAACGCTGTGATCTTGAGTCGGGCCCGTCCCTCGTCAGGAGGAGGATGCAAGAACAGGGGCAGAGATGATATTGGGAGGATGTCTTGACTGCTTCTGATTGTTTTTAGGGCACGTGTTGGTTTTCGTCCGAAATCCCCCTGTAGGGGGGCACGCCCGACTTAACGCTAGAAACAAAAACTTTTGGCGCTCCGCGCGGATTTCTTGGATCCGCGCCTGGGCCGCCCTGGGGCGCGCTCCGCGCGCCAGGGAGGCGGGGGCCCAGCGTGAATCCGCGAAGTCCGCGCGGAGCGCCAAAAATTTATGTTCGTGTGTTTTTGTTTTCTTCTTCTAAGGAGAGCACCCAGAGAGCGCACGGTGCTCGAGAGGTCCAGAATCGCTCTAGGCCTCGCAGATGGGGTCGGAGCAGATGGGGTCGGAAGATTGCGCCCCATCGCCGATGCATCGCCGATGCGGCTCGATGTGGAGCCCGTGCTTCTAAACGCCGACGTCGCCGATGCGTCGCCGTTGCATCGCCGATGCATCGCCGATGCATCGCGAATGCATCGCCGATGCATCGGCGATCTTGGGCGATCCTCCGACCCCATCCAGTCGGACCCCACCTAGGAGGCCTCTGCGGAGGGCGCGCGGCGCCCGAGAGGTCCAGAGCACAGGCCGAGCGAGCGTCGCGGAAGCTGCGGGGCCCTGGGGGCGCAGGCTGCCGAGGCGGCCCCACGAGCGCCCCAGAGGTGCGGTCGACCCCCAATCGCCCATTGATCGTCGCCGATAGGGGGCCGATGGCCCACCATCTCCAGGAACGCGCGGATTCGTTCTTTGGGGCCTACCGCCGATCCGTCGGCGATGTATCGCCGATTCTGGGTCGATGTTTCCCCCCCTGACGATCCCCCTCAATGCTCCCCTTCCCTCAAGATGGCCAGGTCCATCACCGTCCCCCCCAACGTTCCGCCTCAAGATGGCCCCCCTGAGAGGATCGAAGTTGGCGGCGCGGACAAGGGGGTAGGAGGAAGGGGGAAGGCTTCATAGAAGGAGGCTGCTTCTAAGGCGCGGGCCTTACATGTACAAATTACACCAGAGAAAAAAACCCGATCAGTGGATGGTTTTCGCTGAGGAGATCGAGCAGGAACCCAGGAGCCCGGGAACCCAGAACCCACCGAAATCGACCCGGAACCAATAACGGGGAACCCGGGAACCCAACTTGCTACCAAAATCGGCGGGAAATTTTCGCCAAATCTTTCAATTTCCGCTAGGACCCCTTCAGTGCAAGCACTGATTGGGGGACAAGGCCCGCCGCCTCTAAGAAGCAGGGGTGCTTCTTAGAAGCCTTCCCCCCTCCCCCTGCCCCCCTTGGCGCGCCGCCAACCACGAGCCCACCCCTCTCCCACCCCAGGCCTCCCCAGCCGGGTGCGCATTGCCCTCAGGGGCGAGGGAGAGGACGAGGGTGCTTCGGGCGAGGAGGAGCAGAGGGGGGGGCAGGGAGAGGAGCGCGAGCACGAGTCCTCCACCTTCCACCCCACCCCCCTCCTCCTCCTCCTCCTCCTCCTCCTCCTCCTCCTCCTCTCCTCCTCCTCCTCCTCCTCCTCCTCCTCCTCCTCCTCCTCCTCCTCCTCCTCCTCCTCCTCCTCCTCCTCCTCCTCCTCCTCCTCCTCCTCCTCCATGGCAACGCGGTCTGGGAGCGCCCAAGGGGGGAGAGCTGGGGGGGGAGGTACCATTGCCGGACCCACGAAGTCTCCCAGATTTCGTGGCCACCTCTTATTCAGGCGATCGTAAACATGGATCAAGGGGGCGTGGATCAGCGACGAGTCCCGTTTCCATGGGACATCTCGGATTTCCGCCGCCGAACGAGGCGGCACCGACCGCATTTTGGGGAGGGCGCCTCCCCCGATCCATGGATTTGGCGACCGCGCGCTAAATCCATGGATCGCTAGTCCATGTTTGCGCGCCCTTGCCGGAGCCACGAAGTCTCCCAGGTTTCGCGGCCCCCTCCTATTATTTCAAGGTGCCTCCAGCAGCCTCTCCTCGGCGCACATGTCTCGGTCCATGAGTCGCTAGCCCCCCTCTTTCTAGCCTCCTCCTCTTCGGTGCACCCGGTATAAGAAAGTCGATGACATCTAGCTGAAATCCAAACAGTCAAACAAACATCCTATAAGCATGCCTGTTTGGATCTACAGGCTTGCTCTGTTTTGTGCAAGGCCTCTGGCCAGACACCTCGAGAAATCGGTCTGGATGGGTGGGGATGGGTGGTGGTTCGCAGATCTGGCCAAGCATGGAAAGCTGAGTACAACGGGGGGAAGGGGGGACGAGTAGGAGCATCTGCAGCAAGAGGAGTATGATATGAGAGGATCCAGGAGACGAGTGGTGGGGCCAGCTGCACTGTCATAATTTTCCGCCAGCCCTTCTCGATCCAGGACTGAGGGGAGCAATGAGAGAGCCGCTGGAAAAGGAAGAGGATGCTGGAGGAGGGAGGGGGAGGATGGAGCATGGAGCTCTGATCGTCTGCCCTCCCCGACCGGCCGCGCGGCGCCCCGGAAAGAGGCGAAGCTCGTGGACAAGCTGGTGGTGGAGCTGTCGGGCGCAGATGCCGGATCCGACGCGTACGCGAGGGCCGCGTTCGAGCTGCGGGGAAGGACCTCCGTCAGGAGAGGAAAACATACACAGTCACAATTTCATCATCGACTCCCAGGAAAATATAGGAAAATCTGGGAAGTGGGGGGGAAGACAATAACCCAGAAAATATAGGAAAATGTGGGGAATCCTGTTATTTGTGTGTATTTATTTCTGTGTCCCAGGGCCCCTTTCACTCCGAGGTGGATGTTTTGTCCTCCCCCGTTCCCTGCCTCCCGTGCCCCTCGCACGTAATCCTTACCAGGGCCCTGCGGGTGTGTTCGGCCTTGTTTCGAGATCCGAAGGGACCTTGCAACAAGCGTGCTCGTTTCCATGGTTTCCCCCGTGCTCCACAGCGGAGTCCCCAGAGTTGTGGTACCGCGGTAGGTCCACCATGGTGCCAACGCACTTCTGACGGACGTGCACGGCTCTCTTTCGTTCTGTCGATCCGTTCTCGCTGGAGCACGGTACATCCTTGCAAATCTGGGTCCCGAGTGGCCGTGCAAGAGATGTTCCGGTCAGTCTCTTCTAAGACATCTTCGAACATTTGGGCACCGAGATGCCGCGCCCGAGGTGCTTCGGCCCGTTTGGCCTGAGACTTCCTCGCAACGCTGTGTACCAAAGAAGCTGCGCGCGCGACCGTATTCATTTTGGCTCAAGTGACACGAGCATCAGATTCCGTCCCTCTCACCCCTTCTGTCGACGCAGCCAGGGCCGACCTTGCTCACCCCCTGAGGATGTCGCCTGGGCGGCCTCGCTACCGCGCCCTCGTCTGACGACGCGCTGGCTGGCAGAACAGCGGTTCGATCGCTGGCCCGTTGCCACATGGACTTTGCCGCGGAGCCCCTGCGCGTGCACCTGGCGGACCTGAACCGCCGGGAGCGGGCGCAGCTGGAGGCCTGCGAGGCGCTGCTCCACCGCGGCGTGGCCCTGCGCTCCGAGCGGCGGGAGCTGCAGGACGAGCTGCGGCGGTCCGAGGCGGAGCTCCACGGCGCCCAGGGCGCGCCGACGCGCAGCCTCGCGCGCCAGGGCTACGGCACCGAGGTGCTCCGCAGCGAGCTCGAGGCCGAGCGCGCCGACCTCGACGCCGCCCGCGCGGCGCTGCGGGAGGTGCAGGCGCCGTGGGTCTGGGAGGACGCGCCGGCGCACGGCCTCGGCGACGCGGACAGGCGCTGCCGGCTGCTGGAGGCCGAGGGCTCCGAGTGCCAGGACGCCCGGGAGGCCGCGGCGCAGCTGGTGGAGCACCTGGCCGCGCGGCTGGGCCCCATGGAGGTGGAGGTCGAGCGGTTGAGGTCGGAGGCCGCCTTCGAGGCAGCCGGCCGTCGAGCTGCGGATCCAGGGGGCGTCGGGGGCCTGCAGAAGCTTCGCGGCGAGGTGAAGATCTTGAGCAAGAAGGCGGCGGTGCTCGCGGGCGAGGCCAGTGCGCAGGCGCAGGAAGTCTGGGCCGCAAGCGAGAGCGAGCTGCCCAGGCTTCGTCGAGCCGACCAGGACCGCCGAAGGCTCCAGGCGGAGCTCTCGCAGGCACGCTACGAGCGCGACGCCCTGGAGCGAGACTACGAGCGCATCCTGCGGGGGCTGCGCGAGCAGGAGCAGGAGCAGCAGCAGAGCAAGCATGCCCTGCGGGCTTCCCTGATCGAGATCCGCTCCGAGGGGGAGGCGATGGTTGCCGAGCTGCGCGAGAATGACCTGCAGTTGGCTAAGATGCGGCACGCGCACGCCGACTCGGAGTCCTTCTCTGAGCATCTGAGCCGCCAGGTTGCCGCCCTGGAGCGCGAGCACGGCGCTGTCATAAAGTCGCTCCGGGCAGCCTCCGCGGACGTCCCGCAGCTGTACGACCACGGCGACGTGGTTGCCAGGCGCGACGAGCTCAGGCGCGGGCAGGAGGCCATGCTGCGCGACGAGGAGGTGGCTGAAGCACTGAAGGCAGAGTGCCTGAAGATGGAGGCGCTCAAGTGGGACAAGGAGCGGCGCGCCTCGGAGCTCAGGAGCGAGCTGGCCTTCCTGGCCGCGCGCAGGGAGGACGAGCAGGCGCAGCTGCAGGACGACGAGCACGAGGAGTCGGCAGCCCGTTTGCAGACCCGTGGTTCATGAAGCTGCTCTGCAGTGGCATCTCTGAGGAGGCGGAGGCGGAGACTTCGGGCCCATCTGTGACTGCGGCTGGGCCATCGCCGGGGACGCTTGCATGGTCTGGCAGGAGGCGCTCAGGCGCAGTTTGGCCGAGCACACCTACGCGCACGTGGCGGGGCTGCTGAGCCGGAGCGAGGCGGTGTTTGCTGCCGTAGCCATGTCAGATCAGGGCAGGACCAACAAAAAATGCTGCGCGCGAGAGGCCCCAGGCCGTTTCCTATGAAACATCCTCCTCTCTCTTGGATCCGAGATGTTGCGCGCGAGGTATTTTGACCCGTTCCGCCTGAGACAACGCTGGAATTGTGGGTTCCGAGATGCCGCGCGCGAGGTGTTCCAGCAAGCTTGGCCTGAAACATCCACGCAATCCAAGGATCGAAATTGAGAGGACGATCGAGGATGAGAGGGGGATCGAATCTGGGATGGGGGACCAAAGGTGGGAGTAGAATCAACGATACTGGAGCATCATGGGTCGAGCAAGGATTAAGGTTGGGGCGATGATCGAGGACAGGAGGGGGATCGAGGGTGATAGGACGATCAACGATGGCAGGAGGATCGATAATGATAGGAGAACTCAGGATCCAGATTGGGAGGAGCATCGGGGATCGATCGATATAGAGTTCTGGATGAGGATCGAGGATGGAAAGGGTATCGAAGATGAGAGAATGCTCAAGGATGGGAGAAGGAGTCCGAGGAGGAGGAGGAGGAGGAGGAGGAGTAGGAGGAGAGTCGACAGCGAGAGGTGAGAGGATCGAGGATGGGAGGATGGTGGGGGATGAGCGGAAGAACTCGGATCGGTGTTATGGCCTCAGCGCTGTCCACCGTCTTAGTGAAAATTGGTGCTCGGACCCTGCCTGACCAAGCGCCGCTCTGCACAAGACACATTCGACCATTGTGCCAGCAATCTTCGCACAGGCGCTCTTTCTATTAAAGATAAATAAGTTGGCATGCCTACGACGCAACAAGTGGTGCGCCTCAAGCGGAAGTCATTGCGTAACCTCTGACGCACCCGATGACCAGGCAGACACAGCTCTTAAGGCTCGCGGCGAGGCCCACATGGCGAGGTGTCTTGTAATTGTGTGGGTCGACGCGGCTTGCGTCTGCGAAGCGGTTGGCATCCACAGCCGCCTTCCGCGTTTGCCAGGCGAGCCACGGCGGGATCGGCGTCCGGCTGACGAGCCTGGCGTCGGGACAGCTCCACGCCAGGTCCGTTGTTGGTGGGGGCGGCGTCAGATGGGCACCCCCAGCGTCAGGTCATGGGGGGCAGGGCATCAGAAGCGCGGTTCGGAACAAGAAGTGGAGTCCCAGCAGGGGGGGGCACAGCATGGTTTGATTCGTCCAAGACTAGGGGGCCACATGCGAACCCTACCCCCACCCCCCACGATGTCTGAGGGGAGGGTGCGGTTCATTTCGTTCGGGAGCTCCCGAGCGAAGTGAACCCCACCCTCCCCCTCAGAAATCGTGGGGGGTGGTGGGCGGGGGTGGGGCTCGCATGCGGCCCCCTGAAGACGGGGCCCCCGGGCCGACCGATTTGTTTCACACCCTCCCCCGGGGCACGGCGAGGGCCCCGGGCACGGCCGAGGGCGGCCAGAACCATCTCGTGTCGATGATCTTGGTACGTCGGGCGGCGGAAGCAGGAGCGAGTAGCGAAACTGGGGTTATGGTGTTCCAACTGATATTAGCTTTGATCCTCTGAATTTCGAGCGCCAGAACCGAAACTCGAGGGTTTTCACGTGTCGCGCCCTGGGAGGCACTCGCCCGACACTGTTTCGACACTGTTCCGACACTATTTCGGCACTTTTCCGGGTGCTCGAAATTATTCCATAGGCTTACGCCACATTTGCCGATTCCTATATAAACTATTGCGCCTCCAGGACTGCATTTCACGAGGCTTGTCCGAATCATGACACGGCGCTCGACATCGTTCCTGTTGCTTATTTGCTGTTATCGTGCCTCTTGGTGCTCTTTTGTAGCCTTTTGGAGGCATCTTGGCTTGTCTGCAGGCCATATCCGGCCGCCTCGAGGCATCTTGGGCCAAGTTTTGGGGCCTCTTGGGGGCTTCCTGGGGGCTTCTTGGAGGCATTTGAGGTTCTCTTGGAGGTCCCTCAGGGCCTCTTGGGGTGTTCTTGGGGCAGGCTGGGGGCGTCTTGGGGCCGAAGGCTCGAAAAGGTGCCCTCTGGACTCCGTCTTGGAGCCGTCTGGGGGCCCTCTTGGGCTGTCTTGGGGGCTTCGTGGGCTGTTGTTGGACCCTCTTCGACCCTTCTTGGGGACCCCTTTGGCCATCTGGAGGCGATATTGAAGGTTTCTTCTTTGCCCGTCTGGGACGTTGTGAAAACCGAATCGGCGAGCATAGAAAAATGTTTGTTTTTCGAAGGGAATGGGGCTATTTCTGTTTCTTGGGACCCTCTTGGGGTGCATCTTGGGGGCCTTCTGGGGCGTCTTGGCAGCTTCGGAGGTCGCCTGGAGGCCATCGTGGGCGTCCAGGGACGATATTTCGGCGAATCGTGGCCCCCTGGGACCGTCTGGGGAGCGTTTTGGTGCCTTCTTGGCCAGTTTGGGAGCCCTCCGCTCCCCCGTGGCGCGTTCGGTCCGGGGTCGGGCTCGGCCCGGGAGGGGGGGGTCAAATTGCCGGTTTGGGGCCCCTGCGGGGAGAGGGCTTCGGGGGGGGGGGGGGATAATCTCACACGCCTAGAGACCCACAAGTGGTCGGCGGATTTCTGGGATGTGGTCCTTAAGTACGATGGGAGCAACACAAAATTGGGAGCCCGGATGTCTTCCAGCACGCTGGATGTTTGAGGCCATCTTGCGCTCTCAGAGGCCCTCTTGGGGCGATCGTGGGTCATCCTGGACGCTCCAACCCCTCGGCGGGGCACCCCCTCCAGGCGGGGGCAGGGGGGAGGGGTCGAGACACCCTCCAGATAGCAAGCCGTCCAGCTCACTCCCACCCGCCCTCCCAACACATAAGTAACACCCGAGCCTCAGCATGTTCAGCGGCCATCTTTGGATGGACAGCTTCTGGGATCCAAAACCGAGCCCATGTGCGCGACGCTGGGGCGAGGTGCGCCACGCGTGCCAGGCGCGCGAGGAACCCCTCGGGCCCGAGCGTGCCAGGCACGCATGGTGCGCCAGATGCGCCACGTGCCTCAGCGTGCGCCAGGTGTGCCGCATACTCCAGCCGCGCCAGGTGCGCCACGTTCGGGGCACGTGCAGAGTGTGTCAAGTGCGCCTGCGCACAAGACAGCACACATCGGGAAGCATGTCGGCCCCCACAATCCCGCCATCCCTGTCAAAAACCACTTGACAATGATCGCGGGGTGGCCGCGCAGCCGCGAGGTGCATGTTGTATTATGTTTTGTCAGGGATGGTAGCCCTGCGCACAGCAGGCAATATGCTGACACCCCCGCCGTCCCTGTTACAGAAACAATATTATCCCAGTGCGACCCTACCTAGGAGTTGGAGCCTCTAGGAAAGCAACATTAGTAGGAGCGGTAAACGCCGTCCTCCTCCTTCTCCTCATCGTCGTACTTGTAGCAGTAGCGGTGGTAGTAGTGGTGGTAGTAGTAGTAGTAGTAGTAGTAGTAGTAGTAGTAGTAGTAGTAGTAGTAGTAGTAGTGGCGGTAGTAGTAGTAGTAGTAGCAGTAGTAGTAGTAGTAGTAGTAGTAGTAGTAGTCGTAGTAGTAGTAGTAGTAGTAGTTGTTGTTGTTGATGCAGTAGTAGTACTAGTAGTAGTAGTTGTTGTTGCAGTATTAGTAGTAGTAGTAGCAGCAGCAGTAGTAGTAGTCGTAGTCGTAGTCGTAGTCGTAGTCGTAGTCGTAGTCGTAGTCGTAGTCGTAGTAGTAGTAGTAGTAGTAGTAGCAGTAGTAGTAGTAGTAGTAGTAGTAGTAGTAGTAGCAGTAGTAGTAGTAGTAGTAGTAGCGGTAGTAGCAGTAGTAGTAGTAGTAGTAGTAGTAGTAGTAGTAGTAGTAGCGTATATATATACCAAAATATAGCAGCGGCAACAGTGGATGTTGTGCTGCGCTATGCTATGCTATGCTATGGTATGCTGCGCTTTGCTTTGTCTTGCTTTGCTGTGCACAGCGACAGCAGGCTGTTCAGCACTGCTCGCGGCTCCTGCAAGTGCTGCAGGCTGTTCAGCACTGCTTGCACTAGGTTCAACACTGCTCGCGGCTCCTGCAAGAGCTGCAGGCTGTTCAGCACTGCTCGCGGCTCCTGCTCGAGCTGCAGGCTGTTCAGCACTGCTTGCAAGAACTGCAGGCTGTTCAGCACTGCTCGCGGCTCCTGCAAGAGCTGCAGGCTGTTCAGCACTGAAGGTCCGGCTTTGCGTTGCGTGTGCTTTGCTTTGCTGTTTTTTTTCTGTTGGTTTGCCTTTGCTTTGTTGCCATGCTATGCTATGCTGCGCTATGCTATGCTGTGCTATGCTATGCTATGCTATGCTGCGCCATGCTATGCTATGCTATGCTATGCTAGGGTACGCTCGGTTGCGCTGTGTTATACTATGTTATGCTATGCTATGCTATGATATACTGCGCTATGCTGTGCTATGCTGTGCTATGATATGCTGCGCTATGATATGCTATGCTATGCTATGCTGCGTTATGCTATGCTAGGCTATGATATGATATGCTATGCTTCGCTATGCTATGATATGGCTTGCTGTGCTATGCTGCGCTAATGATATGCTGTGCTATGATATGCTATGCTGCACTGTGCTATGCTAAGCAATGCTATGGTATGCTATGCTATGCTATGCTGCGCTACGCTATGCTATGATATGGTATGCTATGATGTGCTGAGCTTTGCTATGCTTGGCTATGCTATGCTATGCTGTGCTAATGCTGCTGCGCTAAACTAAGCTAAGGTAAGCTAAGGTATGCTATGCTAAGCTAAGTTAAGCTAAGCTAGGCTAAGCCAAGCTAAGCTACGCTAAGCTACGCTAAAGTAAAGCTAAGCTAAGCTAGGCTAGGCTAGGCTCAGCTAAGCTAAGCTAAGATGAGATAAGCTCAGCTAAGCTAAGCTTAGCTTAGCTAAGCTAAGCTGTGTGAACCCAGGGGGCGCAACTGGGGGAACCGCGGGGCGGATCCCGGGGGAACCGCCCGGGGCGGTTTCCATTGCCCGGCCCCTTTAAGGTAGAGAGTAAGAACCCTTCTAGGCAGAGCCTAGGTAGGGAACAAAGTGCTCGCGGACCTCACGAGCATGATTCCAGACTTTGCCCCAATGTGTGCATTGTATTTTTTTGCCAGGGATGGTGGGGGGGGTCCGCATCGGGTTGGTTGCGCATGCTCCGAATTTGGAGGCAGAGTGAGGTTTGTATTTTTTTGTTGACAGGGATGGTGGGGGGGGCCCTCATTGTTCCTGGTTGGCCGCTGGTCGCCTGGGGGAGGGGGTGTATGCTAATAGGGAACAGTGATGAACCCCTACCCCCAGCAGGGGTAGGAGGGAGCTTTGGCAGAGAGAAGACAAAATCCGTGAAGCCACCTGCGCCCAGAAGCCTGGAGGGATTTGCGACCTCTCGCCCCCTGCTTCCCAGAGCCAGCTCCTCGTCCCGGATCCCTGTCTGCCTGCCCCGGGGGCCCAGGAACGGCCGCCGGCGGCCCAAAGCGGCAAGAAATGCCCGCCGATGCCAATCGTACCAGGGATCTTTGTCGGGAGCCTCGAGACGGGGGTCAGCCAGGGCACCAGATTCTGCAGGATCCTGCGAAGACCCCCTCTGGCTTGGCTGACCCAGGTTAGCGAGCCGCTCGTGGCCGCGAGGCGGCCGCGCCTATTGGCTGACCCGGGTTTGCGAAGACCTGCGTTGCAGTTTTTGTTTGTCCTGCATTGCAGTTTTTGGTTTCCTGCTGACCCGGGTCTGGATTGACCCGGGTCAGAAGATCCCCGACTTTTGGAGGGGTCAGAGATTCGGGCCCGCACCTGTCCGAGGGCGCACTCCGGCCAGAATCTCGAGACGGATCCAGCCGTGGCAACGAGGACGGGGATCGGGAGGGAGAGAAACACACAGACACAAAGAATCGTCGATTCCCATGAGAATGTTGGAAAATATGGGAAGAGGTCGAGAAGACGAGAATCGAGAACACATGACAAAATAGATGTGGGATCATGGGATTTGTGTGTATTTATTTGTGTGTGGCAAAATGCCAGCGGCAAGATACCGTCCAAGCCCGACCCTCGGGCCTGGAATCTCGGCGCTCCTCGGTGCCCCTCGTCCACCTCGGCGCGCCAGGACGCGCTCGCTGCAGACCAACGAGGGCCTGGGCCTGGGCGGGCAGCTCGACCTAGGACGCCCTGCCCTCTCCTGCCCGCTGCTGTGTTAGGGGAGTCTGCAGGATGGCGATTTCGAGGCAGGCACGGCGTGCAGTCGGCCCGGATTAGTAGGTCGACCCTGCCAGCTCAAGGGTAATTACCCTTGTGTCCTGTGCCTCGCGACACGTGCCTTCTTACACTCCTATGGCGACGTGGCCCTCGGAAGGGTCTTGTGTCCTCTCGCGTGTCCTGTCCAATCAAGGCCGACTGTAGGCGGCTTCCCCGCCGCCGCACCTGGTTTCTGGAGAGGAGGGACAAAGAATCTCGATGGCGACGACGGCGCCCATGAGCAGGCCTGGAGCCCCGTTGTTCGATCGTCGCCCGAGGCGCTGCCGTGTGACAGACCTCCCGCTGGCATGTCTTCATCGTCGTCTTGCGCTACCCATCGGTCGTTGAAAGTAGGTATAGCTGGAGTCCCAGAGTCCAATCTACTTTAAGCGCCCTCCTACTTCAATGATCGAGTGGCTTCACCTTTGCCGTCCTCCTCAGGGGGCGGGCGGACACCCACTCTACTTCCAACGCCTTCCTACTTCATGTGTCTACCTACTTCTTCCGACCGATGGGCACTCGTGGCCAGCGCCCGAGTTCCTCTGAGCCCCTCTGGCTGACCCGGGTTCGGGAGCCACGCGGATCTGGAAGTTGCGCGGCCAGATGGGGTCCGCGACGTGGCCTCGGCTGGCTCGGGTCTCGGGGCGCTGGCCTGGGTCGGCGCGTCCCCGGAGGGGGAGTGGGAGGGAGGCGGCGCCGCAGAGGTCCCCCTCTGGGACACCTCCACGGAGGATCAACCTCCTCCTCCTCCTCCTCCTCCTCCTCCTCCTCCTCCTCCTCCTTCCCGACGGCAGCAGCACGGCGACCAGCGGCGCTGGCGGCAGAAGCGACCGGTGGCGGCGGCAGCGTGGACCGGCGGTTGCTCGCCGTTGACCCAGGGTCCCCTCCGGGCTCTTGGGCGTGAACGTCTGGTCGGAACAAGTCGGGGCGCCGAGTCGCGCTGCAAAGCAAACACCGCGAGACACATGCGTCGCACGCTGCAGCGCGCCTGGAAGCTTCATCGGGGAAGCACTCAAGCTTTTTCGAAGTTCCAGTGTGCAAGGCTGCAATAGTAAAAAACAATTTTCGGTACGCACCGAAAGTCCGCTGCAGCGAAAATCGTCATGCAAATGATAAGCGCACGCGGCAACAATGCAAGACCTCACGTTCAGCAAATGCTGACCCCTAGTAAATAAATATGTCAGGTCTGGACATTAAGCTCGGACGTCGAATCTCAAGATGCGCAACCATATACAAAAACGAACACCGAGTTGTTGCACAACGCGGCGCCGAATCTTGAAATGCGGAACCATTTTGAAAATTACGCCTCAAACTACGCGCGCGTTCCAGGCAAAGGGGCAGCGCGTTTACTGACTATGTATTACGTTTTGGTGAGTCACTGCTTTAAGTCAAGTATCGGACTTACTAACGCGCATTGAAATTGTTTGTGAGTGGTAAGGCGGTACAACAACTCCGTAGGAAGATTTGTGCAGACAGGTAGAAAGCCTCTGTAGGTGGTAAGGTCACCTCCGTACGTCTGCAGTTGTTCGCTGTAAGGGGTACATAGCGGGCTTACCGAGTTTTCACATGTTGTTCTTGAGACTTAACGTATGTGTTACAATCGACCAGCGCGAGCAGACACCCGATTTATAAGGCTGACAACCAATCGACAGCCTTGTAATTCACTCGATCTGCATGTGTTCTCACAACGCGAACCCTCCCTTGTGCGCGGCGCGCATCTGAGTGGGCGGCGGGACCGGCCGGCAGGCGGAAGGCGAGGCCCGCAGCAGCGGGGGGCGGGGGAAGGGAGGAAGAGGCGCCGCTCGGCTGGCACGAGGGAGGCCCTGACCTCCAAACGCCTTGAAGCCACCGAGGCGCAGGCGTTGCGCCGTCTGCGGCCTCCGGGGGCCCCCGCAGGCCACCTGCGGCGGGCAAGAGACGGCTCGGGGCGGGTCGTGACTCCCGGGGGGCCCCGCACTCAAGAAAGCAGAAGGGCACAGGATGATCTCCGGGAAGGGTCGAGCCGGGTCCTGGTCCCAGGAGCTTCGCCCCAGCCGCGTCTGGGTCTCATGCAGGATTCTATGTTGACGGTCCTGGGGCCAGTGTGAGGGCCGCAGAAGCCTAGCAACGTCGCACATCGGAGCGAGGGCCGGTTGGCTGGCTGCTGATGTTTCGGGGCAGGCAAACGTCGTCGCGTTCATCTGCTTATTGCATTCGCATTATTATTCTTATTATCATTATTACGAGTATTACTTTTTTATTATTATTAGTATTATTATTTTCTCTATTTTTTATTTTTATTATTATTATTCTTATTATAATTAATATTATTATTATCATTACTATTAGTATTGTTATTAATATTATTCTTATTAGTATTAGTATTATTAGTATTATGAATAGGAATAGTATTATTGTTCTTATTCGTATTTGTCTTCTTATGTTCCTTCTTCTTGTTCTCATTATTGTTCTTATTATTCCCCGTACACAAAGGATGGGGTTATTGTTATTCTCCGACCGCGCCGGACCACCCATACCATGATGATGACCATGGTATGGTGAGAGCATGATGTGAGTATGATGGTGATGGTGAGTGATGGATGAGTATGACGATGAGGATGAGGATGAGGATGAGGATGAGGATGATGATGATGATGATGATGATGATGATGATGACGATGACGATGACGATGACGATGACGATGACGATGACGATGACGATGACGATGACGATGAGCAGATGATGAGCATGTCTCGAGCGGCTTGCTGGTTTTAGCACTCCTAAGGGGGGGCCGCCAGGGGTATTGCACGGCCTCCGTTCACGCCCAAATGGTGGGGATGTCTCAGGCGGTGTGCTTGTTTTGGTCCACAACATCTTCCGTTTTCGCAGTAGATTTCGAGGATGTCTCGTGCGAGGCGCCTCCTAAGGGGGGGCCGCCAGGGGTATTGCACGGCCTCCGTTCACGCCCGAATAGCGGGGATGTCTCAGGCGGTTTGCCTGTATTGGTCCCCAACATCCTCCGCTTGCGGACCAGATTTGGAGGATGTCTCGAGCGAGGCGCTCATTTTCGCCCCCCAGGGGGACCAGATTTTGAAGATGTCTCGATCGGTGTGCCGGTTCTGGTGGCCAGACTCGTGAGCACATATTCTCCCCAGGATGCCACAGGAGGCTCCAGCAGGCTTCAGGAGGCCCCGGGAGGCCACATGAGGTCCCAGGAGGCATCAGGAGGCCACAGGAAGATTCAAGAGGCCACAGGATGTCCCAAGAGGCTCCAGGAGGCCCCAGGAGGCCTCAGGAAGCCACAGGAGGCCACAGGAAGCGCCAGGAGGCCCAGGCAACAGGAGGCCCCGAGAGGCCCCAGGAGCAGGAGGCCTCAGAAGACAACAGGAGTGACTCCAATCCCATGTGTTTTACGTATGCTCCTATAGATTGGGCCTCACCTGGAGCACGAATACTTGATGTTATACGTATGTGTTATATGTATATAAAAAGAGTGTCCTTCTCCTGTTCTCCTGTGTACACAATCCTAAAGGTTTTACGTCTGTTCCTATAGATTGGGCCTCCCCTGGGGCACGAGTCCTTGGTGTTTTACGTGTGCACATGCAGACTGCCCTTCTCCTGTGGCTCCAATCCGCAATGTTTTATGTGCGTCAGTTCCTATAGATCGGGCTTCTCCTGGGGCACGAATCCTCCCTAGGAGGTCCCAGAAGGCTCCAGGAGGCTACGCGAGGCTCCAGGAGGCCTCAGGAGGCCACTCGAAGCCCCAAGGCCCCAGGAGGCCCCAAGAGGCTCCTGGAGGCCCCTGGAAGGCCCAGGAGGTCTTTGGAGGCCCCGGGAGGCCCCAGGCTCATGCGCAGAGACGCGCTCGTACTGCCGAGACTCAATCACGCTCCGATCCGTTCGAAGCTAGATTCATGACCAGACCGTCACAACTCAAGCCCGCTTATGTTCGAAAACTCTTGCGCCTAGACTCTCATGGCGGACAGGTCCATGCGAATAGATGCACATATGGGAAGCTCCACGCAGTGAATAACAATAATAAGAATCATCATCGTCATCATCATCGTCATCGGCATCATCATCATCATCATCATCAGCAGCATCAGCAGCAGCATCAGCATCAGCATCAGCATCAGCATCATCAGCAGCAGCAGCAGCAGCAGCAGCATCATCATCATCATCATCATCATCATCATCATCATCATCATCATCATCATCATTATCATTATCATTATCATTAGTATTATTAGTGCGATTATACTTACTATTACTATTATGATTATTGGAGGGCCGGCGGGGCCCGGCCCCGGGGGGGGGCCCACGCGCGCGCGTGGGGGCCGGGGGGAGGCCCTGGGGGCCTCATCGCAGGGGGCCCGCGGCGTCGCGGGGGCCCGTCGCCGCGGGACCCGCGGATGGCGCTGGCCGTGTGGGGGCCCGGGGGGAGGGGGCCCCGGGTCGACTAGACGTAAGAGTGACCTTTCGCCGGAGTGACCCTTTGGTGCGGGCACAGACGGGCCCGCAGATGGCTGAAAACGACGCAGTAGCAGCGGCTTGCGCGCCCAGGTTTGGTCTCCCCGCGGCCCGCGGGGCCCGCGGCCCCCCAAAAGCCGCGCACCAAAGGTCACTCTTACCCAGGGTCACTCTTGCGTGTAGCCGACGGGGGCTCCCTCGCGGGTGGCCCGCTCGGCACGAACGAAATGGGTACGGAAAGAATGGGCCCGATGCCCAAGAGCAGTTCCTGCCCATTCTGAACAGGCCTCGCTGTCCGCGCCGCCGCGGCCTGTGTCCATTTGAGACAGAAGGACGCCTGCCCAACAGCGGCCGGTGTTGGTGTGGAACATCAGGTGTTGTTGGGCATTGTACTCATTTTTGTCCGTACCCTTTTCGGGCGTCCAACCCCGCGGCGTCGTGGGTGGCTCGTCGCCACGGCGCCCAAGGGTGGCGTTGGTCTTGGCTTCGCGGAGATGCCGTGTGAAATGAGGAGCCCGGTGCGGCCCCAGTCAGGGGAGAGTTCCTTTTTGCATGGGCGCAGTGCTTGGCATTGCTCGAGATAGAGAAAACTGTTGGCGCCCCGCGCGGATTTCTTGAATCCGCGCTGGGCCCCCCCAGCGGCGCCTCCGGCGCCGCCCCTGGCGCGCGGAGCGCGCCAGGGAGAGGGGTCCAGCGCAGATCCAAGAAACCCGAGCAGAGCGCCAAAAGTGTATGTTCATGCCGTTTTTCTTCTAATTGCTGGGCATTGCTTGGCATGAGGCACCTGGGGAACCCAGGGAACCTCCGAGCAACGGGCAGAGTAATCCCCCGAGGCACCAACGTTGAACCGAGTAAGAACTCCTTAGGCAAGCCTAATTGGGGAATGAGAAATTGGCGCCTGCGGCGGGCTTCTTCATCGAAAGTTCCTTTCAATTTTTTCCAGTAACCCGTCCATGGGTGGGCGCGCCGTCGTGGGGGCCACTGGTGGCGCCGGCCTTGGCTACGCAGAAACGCATGTTCAAAATTGAAAAAGTCGGCGCCTGCGGCGGGCTTCATCCTTGTTCCGTTCACGGCGCGTCGCGCCGAGACCACAGCAACCCCATATGCGCATTTGCTGGGGGTATGGTCATGACGTATCCTTGATGCTGACTTGTAAAACAGTGCCCCATCCAGACGTCGACATCGACCCTCTGACCGGGCACCGCGCTCAGCCGTGCCAGCTTCGGGCGCGATCCTCGCCGGCCGCTGCGATCGCCGCTCTGCAAGGGCAGCACGCGAGCGAGAGGGTCGAGGGAGGAGGCCCGCCTCTGCTGCTCCGATCGGCCACGGCTCCCACTGCCCTGGCACGGCCCGCTGGCCCCAGCCCTCCTCCCCCTCCTCCTCCTTCTCCTCCTTCTCCTCCCTCCTTCTCCTCCTCCTCCTCCTCCTCCTCCTCCTCCTCTTCCTCCTCCTCCAGACGTCTGGCGGCTCGAACAAGCTCGAGACGGCCGGCTTTTCTCCATGATCGGCTTCTCTGGGCCGGTTTTGGGACCCCCCCATTGGCAAACATCCGCTCGGGATGAAAAACCGGCCCCAGACACGCCTAGAAGAAAATTGAGCCGCTGGACGTCACAGGGTTCCCCCTCGGGCCCATCCAGGCAGGTCATCGGTCATCACCGAGGTTGCATCCAGATTCCACAGGGCGCGCTCCAGAAAGCGCCTCACCTCTGGCGCGTCTGGTCCTTCGGCGGGAGGTGGCGGAAGCCCGCGGAAATATACCAGCGACGGGTCCGCCAGCAGAAGGCGGCGGAAGTAAAGCAGGGCAGGGATATAAGAGACGAGAGAGAGAGAGAGATAGAGAGAGAGAGAGAGAGAGCGCGCAACAGTTCGGACGGCAGGTCGTCCATGCCCAGCGGGGTTTGATTGCCGCTCGGGCCTACCTCGCGTTGGCAGGAGGTACCGCAATGCAAGCAGGGGTGGTGAAAAACACGCGCACACACACACACACACACTCTTGCGCGAACTATAGGCGTCCCGACTGGAGAGACAGAGGGGTCTGTGGCGATCAGGGCGTCGCACGCCCCGTCTGCAGACCCGAGCAGAAGGCGCCTGCTCCAAGCGTGCTTCGGCATGCGCGCCTCGGTACCATAGTGAACCGCGGCGCCACCTTGAGACATCCCCCGCAGCGGCCCTGGGGCCCAGTGCCAAACCCGTGGAGCAGTTTACAGTTGCTCTGGCAGCGCACGCGAGAGAAGAGAGGCTAGCACTGGTGTGCAAGCGGAAAGCATCGAGGTGCGTATGGAGGCTTCCTTGGGGGGTGACCCCCCAGGGATGCTATAGAGAGAGAGAGGAAAACATAAAATAAACATAAAGAGAGAGAGAGAGAGAGACAAGAGAGAAGAGAAACGGTAGAGACGAGCGAGAGAGCGAGAGAGAGGGATATATAACTCATATCGCAGATGAGAGTGGAAGAGGAAACAGTTTGGGTGTACTATATCGGGTAATCTGAGTACATACACCTATCAACAGGGAGGGGGAGAGGACCCAACAAGAAGACGTACGATAACAGAGCGTGAATACATGTACACCTAGAGTGTGAGGCAGAGGGAGGGAGTGTATAGATATAGATACAGATCTGTATATGTATGTATAGAAGGAGATACATACATACAGGGGGTAATGATATATGAGAGTGAGGAAGCCGAACGGTCATTCACTGTCCCTGGGCGCGTGGCTGAAGTGAGGTTCTGCGGTGCGGATTGTTGTTGTTGCGTGTTGGTTGTTGTTGGTTGTTGTTGGTTGGTGTTTGTTGTTGTTTGTTGTCGTCGTCCTCCCGCGACCCAGCTCGCGACCCACCCGCGACCCACCCGCGACCCACCTGCGACCCACCCCTCGACCCACCCGCGACCTACCCGCGACCCACCCGCGACCCGGCCCGCGACCGACCCGCGACCCACCCGCGACTCACTTGCGACCCACCACGCGACCCACCAACACTGCTTTAACGAAAAAATCGACGCCTGCGGCGGGCTCTTTGTATAAGTTGTAAGAATTTGGCGCCTGCGGCGGGCTTCGTCAGAGCCTCGCAGACTGCCGACGTCCCCGCCGCCCCCTCACTCTTATCGGCAACCGCGGGGTGCTACGTACAGACAGAGGCATACACATACACCAAAACAATTACAATGGTCGACGCTGGTATCCACGAGCACGCCTGTGCAGTACCGCCCGACAGCTGGGCCGAGGCACATCACCCTTGCCAAGGGGGACCAGGATTCCGTCAGCGGCACGACCTTCTGCCCCTCGCGATTGAAGGCCGCGCTCGAGGGGCGGAGGGAGCGAGGGTAGGCAACCACATGTGGACGCACCCCTGCAGGTCGGATTTCTGACAGCTGGACGTGCCTCAGAAGTCGAGAGGATGCTTGCGGCCCGGTGAACCCCAGCGGTGGTCTCGGATACCCCAGCGCCGATGGGACCTGCAGAGGTGGGGTTCGCAAGGGGTCGCAGAGAGCACTTGAGAGAAGGAGGAATGAGGGATGCATGATAGGATGGAAGGAGGAGGAGGCACGAGGGAGGAGTGTAGGAGGGAGGTGGGGTGAGGGAGAAACAAAGGGGAAGAGAGGAGGGAAGGGGACAAAGGAGGAGGAGGAGGAGCAGCAGGAAGAGGAGTAGGGAAAAGATGAGGAAAACGAGGAGAACGAGGGGGAGAAGGAAGGGGGCGCGAATGAGGACGGGGTCGAGCAGCAGCCGCAGGGGCGTGGCAGCCGCAGCCAACTCCCCTTCTCTCCCGCCTCAGGCTGGGGGGCATTGGAGGAGGGGATAGGGGAGGGGGAGGTTTATCGAAGAAGAGCGAGGAGACGCTTACATGGATTGAGGCGCGTAGAATAGCGACTGGTCGAATTTCCACACAACATCGGCGCGCTGTTGCCAAATGAGGCGTCACTGGTCTCATATGTCGCGGGTACCTTCCCCGACCCATGGATCTGAAGCCCATGCGCCAGGTCCGCGGATCCCCAATCCATGACAGCGTGCGCCCGAGAAGAGAAAGCGGTATGCGTAAACGTACATGTTCGGAAGTACGCGCGATTTTCTCTGGTCGACGTTGTACACTGGACCCCCTCTCCTTGGAGCGCGGAGGGGGGAGTCCCATGCGCGATCTGGAGGAATCCGCACCAACCTCCGAAAATTTATAGTCGTGTAGTTTTTTTTCCCTCCTAGATATTTGCCAGCGTGGACCCCAAACAGTGCGATGTTGCACTGTGGATGCGTAAGCTGTATAGTGTGATCAACAAGGTGTGATATATGTGGTGTGTGCTGTAAGGTGTGAACTATCTGGCAACACATTTGTGATGTCAGCTATGCGGGGTAGCTAGATTCTGCAATGTATGCGTTATAGATGCTGTGTGGTCTATGGTATGTAAGCTACGTGGTGCAACCTAAGTGTCTCAATTCACCTTGCCGAACTAGAAGTTGCCAGCTCCACTGCTCGCACAATCATCCGACCCACCCACCCGCAACTTGGCTTGCACAACCCATGCTGCGGCGATTGCGACGCAAGCTTGGCGGTGGCTGGCGCGTCGCTGCGGCCGCGCTAGCGCACGCAGGCTCGCGCGCAGAACGGTTAGCTAGTCTGGCGCGACCGATGCGGTCGCAGTGGCACTGACCGCTGGGGTCTTCTGAGCGCGACTCGCAGGCCGCGCTGACGCGCGGGCACATCAGTGCGAGCCGGTGAGTCGGGAGGGCGTGGTATCATAGCGACGTCGACAAAGGTAGACACGATGATGATAGTAGCGATGCCAGTGACGACGATGATGATGACGACGACACGGCCAATGACGGCGCCACGTTAATCACGCCGATGGCGATGATGGTGTCCACATGTTGGTGGTGAAGGTTGTGACAGGATTTCGACATGCGCGCGCGGCCGATGGGCGCGAGTGGCCCACATGGCGTTATTTGTCAAGATCGTGCCCCCCCTCCCCACCCCCCGCACGGGCGCAAGGGCGCTCGAATTTCGGCATGCGCGCGCGGGAGGCCCGTTTTGGCAGAATTTGATGAGCATGTTGAAAGCCCGTTGTTTCCGGAAAAATTCGCCGGAGCGCGCGCGCAGATTCTTTCGAACATTCCGATTGCACAGACATTGTTTTTATCTGTTGTCGGGGCACTCGATTTTGAACTCGTTCACAACCCTGGGGTTCCCGAAGTATTTCGGCATGCGCGCACGCGACGACGCGCGCGCGCACTTCGTCCCATTGTGTGGTAAGGGGGGTTGGCGATATATTGTTTTTGAGCAACGAGTGAGGGCGCATAGTTTTTTTAAGGATGGGGAGTCGAAACCAGTTTTGCTTCAATGATATGAGTTCGTATTCCGAAAGAACGAGTGGGCACAATCTTAGGTAGATGCGTATCCTAAGGGGGGAGGACAAGTCCAGCTTCGGGATGGCGGTGGATCCGAACTCGCATGCGAAAAAGAGACAGATACCGGAGAAAAAAAACAATCATTTTTTTAAGGCTGTAGGGCTATAGGGCTATATATGCTACAGGGCGATTGGGCTATAGGGTAACAGAGCTACAGGGCTATAGTGCTATAGGGTATATGGGGTGTAGGGCTATAGAGCTATAGGGCTATACAACTATAGGGCTATAGGGCTATTGAGCTATAGGGCTATAGTGCTATAGAGCTATAGAGCTGTAGGGCTATAGGGCTACTGGGCTACTGGGCTATAGGGCTATAGGGCACCCCCGGGCACCCTGGCACCCCCGGGCACGCCCGGGCAACCGGGCACCCGGACACCCCCAGGCACCCGGGCACCCGCGCGTGCGGCGAAAATCGGCGGCAAACCTAACCTAACCAAATGAATCCGCTAGGACCCCTACAGAGGCAAGCTCTGATTGGGGAACCTATGCAGTGCAATATGTGGTGTGATCTGTACGAAGTTAGCTATGTGGTGCAGTCTACGCAGTGCAAGACCAGTGGTGCGAAATCTCGCCAGACCCATCCAACGCACAAGGCGGCCCCAGGCGGCAACGCGGCGGAAGTTCACCGGACCCATCCAGCGCACGAGACGGCCACGTGGCGGCCCCGGGCGGCAACGCGGCGGAAGTTCACCGGACCCATCCAGCGCACGAGACGGCCACGAGGCGGCCACGGGCGGCAAGGTGGCGAAACCTCGCCAGACCCACACCCAGCGCACGAGGCGGCCGCGAGGCGGCCACGGCCACAGGCGGCAATGTGGCGAAGCCTCGCCAGAGCCATCCAAGTCCTTGGTGGCAAAAGGAAGAGCCCTTGATTGCCAGCACTGTTTGGGGAAGAACGGGGAAGGGGCAGTTCGCCCAGTCATATTAAGCAGCAGCGTCGTCACCACCCTCATCATCATCATCATCAGCAGCATCAGCAGCATCGTCATCAGCAGCAGTATCATCATGAGCATCATCATCATCATCATCATCATCATCATCATCATCAGCAGCAACAGCATCAGCATCATCATCATCATCATCATCATCAGCAGCAGCAGCATCATCATCATCATCTCAATAATCAGCGTCATCATCATCAGCAGCATCAGCATCAACATAATCAGCATTCTCATCATCTCCTTGGTCGTCGTCCTCATCCTCCCTGGCCTCCTCCATCTCCATCCCTTTCTACCTGTTGCTGCGCACTCCAGCTCCCTCGCGCTCGGTATGCTGAGTGGCCGCAAGCAGGGGCAGGCGCCCAATTACAAGCAAAAGCAATACACGACATACGGTGTCCCTTTCAACACGGACGTGTTGTCGTCGGCGTTGCAAAATTCGCGACGGGAATCGGACGCGGGGCAGCGTATCGAGTGCGCATGATTGAAGTCTCGATCTCGCCTCAGCACTGCGCATCTGATCTCTCGAAGTTGCGCTCCCGCTCGGGCGCGGCGAGCGAGTTTCTTTCGCCATGTGGCCGCGATCGAGAGAGCGAAAAGCCGCTCTTGCCCAAACGCCGTGATGTTTCCCTTTGAATTGCTAGGCCTGTGGGAACCGGTTTCGGGCCCCGGGACCGTGCAAAAAAGATTCGGGATGGACAACCCGAGTGGGGGAAGTGTTCGAGAGGTTCGGGGACCCATGTCTCGATCAAAATCGAGCCGCTGGATGCCTGGGGACCTCTGGAGGTCCGTGGACGTTTCCGCGGAGGATTCCCCCAGAAGGGCCAGAAACGATCGAAAATTTCGATCTCGATCCTCCTCCATCGTCCTCCTCCCTTCCTGCTTTCCTCCCCCCCTCCTTCCGTCCCCTCCCTCGCTCCTCCCTCACTCTGCGTCCTCCTCCCACTTCCTCCCTCCCTTCCCTCATCCCTCATCCCTCGCGCCCCCCTTCCCTTCATCCCTCTTCCTCCCTGCCTCCCTCACTCTTCGTCCGCTTCCCCTCGCCCCATCGGCAAGCAGCGCCCGGCCTCCAGAGCCACCAGGAACTGGAGTCGGCCAGCACGCCCGCCTACTCCTCCGTGACGCCGTTCCACGCCTCGACGGAGTCGTTCGCCGCGGCCCGCAGGCGAGGGGCCGAGGGGCGACAGAGGAAGAGTAGGAGAGGGAGGAGGAGGAGGAGGAGGAGGAGGAGGAGGAGGAGGAGGAGGAGGAGGAGGAGGAGGAGGAGGAGGAGGAGGAGGAGAAGAAGAAGAAGAGGAGGAAGAAGAGGAGGAGGAGGAGGAGGAGATCCGTAGCCATTTTGGCTCAAGGGGCCTTCTCCCCAACGTCCCAGACGCAGCTGAGGAGCGAGAGGGAAGGGCCGCCTCGGCCGCGCGCGCCCCTGGAGTTCCAGGGAGCCGCCCCAGCGGCATCGCTGGGGACTTCGAGGTTGACACGGGTAAGGGGGATGGCCGTGCGCCCCAGCGGGGCAGGGCTCGTTTCGATTCCTCCCGTTCGATTCGATGTCGATGGATTCCGATTCCGATTCGACTCGACTTGGGATTCCGATTTGGGCTCGCCTGGTGGGGTCCTGACAGCAAGTCTCTCGGCCCGCCGTGCGGCCACTGCGGCTGCTCAAAGAACATGGCGCACCCCAAGATGTGCTCTCTGGATGGGGCAATAATCGCCCCCCCCCCCTTGGATCCGCTGGGGGGTTTGGGCACGTACTGTCGGAATGGGTGGAGGGGGGTTGCAAGAAGAGGAGAAGGAGAAGGAGGAGGAGGAGGAGGGGGAGGAGAACGGAGGGCGGCGGGACTGGGCAGGCTCAATCAGAAGGTTGATCACCCCCCTGTTATATATATATATATATATATATATACATATAGAAGTATACATACATATACATGTAACATGAACAAGGAGGCCGGGCCCCCTCCCGGGGAGTCCTCCTGGATTGCGCTCCCGGTGCCGCGTTCCCCGGCCCCCCACATGGGCCCCAAAACGCCCCAGAAGAGCCGCCAGACGCCCACGAACAGCCGCCAGAATCTAAAAGGACGATCCACGACGCCCCCAAGCAACCCAAGATGGCCTCCGGGCCGGCTCTCCAGGCTCCCGGGAGGCCTCCAAGAGACCTGAAGAGAGCTCCGAGAGGCCTCCCGAGAGCGCCCGGAGAACCTGAAATCGTTGATTGTCATGGGTCGTTTGGCCTTCTCACAATTTCATGTTTCCAACGCTCCAAGACGGCCGAAGAGGCCCCGAAGACCGGCCCAAGACCGCCCAAGATGGCCCCAAGACGGGCCAAAAAGGCCCCAAGATTGCCGAAGAGGCGCCCAGGACAGCTCCAGACCACCCCAGAACATGCCCAAGATGGACCCTAGAGCGCGAGCAGGAGGCCTCGAGAGACTTCCGAGAGGTCTCTGGGACCCCCCAAGAGGCCCCCAACACACCCCAGACCCTTTAAGATGCCCCCAAAAAGCCCCGACGAGGCACCAAAAACAGCCCAAGAGAGCTTCGAGAGCCGTCCCGAGGAAGCCCAAAGAAGGTAACATCGTTGATTTCCAGTGGTTTTTGTCTACGTTTTTCGCATTCTCACGCTTCCCGCTTCCATCGCTCCAAGACCGAGGAACTCGAAAATTACCCTGGCGACGTACCCAACCCTTGCGCAGTGCGGGGCATAAGTACATCAGGATTGCTACAACGGGAGCGATGACATGGACGCATGTGATTTTGCGAGTAGCAATCGGAAGGCTCGCAGGCCCCCGATGAAGACCTAAGGGCTACGCAATAACAAATCACCCCCGTTGGCTGTGCCGCGCGCCCGTTGCACCCAACGTATCCCACAGCAGCTCTTGAGAGCCCCCCAGGGACGGCGAGGTGTCGCTCAGATCCCCGCGATGCCTCACTCCGCAGGACCCACCAGCAGCTTTCGAAAGTGGCGACAGTGTCGCAGATCGCAGCCCCCCAGGGACGGCGAGGTCCCGCTCAGACTCCCGCGGTGCTTCACTCCGCAGGACCCACCAGCAGCCTTCGAAAGTGGCGACAGTGTCGCAGATCGCGGCCCCCCAGGGGCGGCGAGGTCCCGCTCAGACCCCCGCGGTGCTTCGCTCCGCAGGACCAACCAGCAGCCCTCGAAAGTGGCGACAGTGTCGCAGATCGCGGCCCCCCAGGGACGGCGAGGTCCCGCTCAGATCCCCGCGGTGCCTCACTCCGCAGGACCCACCAGCAGCCCTCGAAAGTGACGACAGTGTCGCAGATTGCGGCCCCCCAGGGACGGCGAGGTCCCGCTCAGATCCCCGCGGCGCCTCACTCCGCAGGACCCACCAGCAGCCTTCGAAAGTGGCGACAGTGTCGCAGATCGCGGCCCCCCAGGGGCGGCGAGGTCGCGCTCAAATCACCGCGGTGCCTTCAGGACCCACCACGAAAGTGGCGACAGTGTCGCAGATCGCAGCCCCCCAGGGACGGCGAGGTCCCGCTCCGATCCCCGCGGTGCCTCACTCCGCAGGACCCACCAGCAGCCTTCGAATGGGCGACAGTGTCGCAGATCGCAGCCCCCCAGGGACGGCGAGGTCCCGCTCAGACCCCCGCGGGTGCTTCACTCCGCAGGACCCACCAGCAGCCCTCGAAAGTGGCGACAGTGTCGCAGATCGCAGCCCCCCAGGGACGGCGAGGTCCCGCTCAGACCCCCGCGGTGCCTCACTCCGCAGGACCCACCAGCAGCCCTCGAAAGTGGCGACCGTGTGGCAGATCGCGGCCCCCCCAGGGGCGGCGAGGTCCCGCTCAGATCCCCGCGGCGCCTCACTCCGCAGGACCCACCAGCAGCCTTCGAAAGTGGCGACTGTGTCGCAGATCGCGGCCCCCCAGGGGCGGCGAGGTCGCGCTCAGACTCCCGCGGTGCCTCACTCCGCAGGACCCACCAGCAGCCCTCGAAAGTGGCGACAGTGTGGCAGATCGCGGCCCCCCCAGGGACGGCGAGGTCCCGCTCAGATCCCCGCGGTGCCTCACTCCGCAGGACCCACCAGCAGCCTGCGACAGTGTCGCAGATCGCAGCCCCCTATGGATGGCGAGGTCCGCACAGAGCAAGAGGAGAGGGAAACGGGAGGAGGAGGAGGCGGGAGGAGGAGGAGGAGGAGGAGGAGGAGAAGGACTGGAGACCGCAGTGCTCTATTCGAAACGAATACCCAACCAAGGAGGGCTGGGAACAAAGAAGTCCCGATAGTATGTTTGTCATGTTGGGACTCATGTTCCCTATCCTCTTCCTCGAGCCCCATCAAGACTTCGGAATCGCATGCAAAACTATGTCGGGAATGCTGTTGAACTCTTCTGACGTTGTCTTGGCACTCTCTTGGATCGTCTTCGTGTCCTCTTGGCTGCCCCTGAAACCATTGTAGACATCGAGATCCCATGATCCCATGAGTTGAAGCAGTGGAATTTCAGGATTCCCTTTTTAAAAAGCTCACCCCCTGCTTATCTTCTGCGCGAAGACCCCGAGAGGCATCCCAACAGACCGTGGCCTGCATCCAGAAAGCGTCTAACCCACAGACCAGGCACTACAATGTTACAAAAGGAGTTCCCACAACTCAGTGTTTTTCAAGTTCACCCCCTGTCTACTCTTGCACAACAGACCACCAGCAAGGCCCCAGAAAAGAATCCAGGAAGCATTCGAGGGCCCGAATTCGCCGAATGCCTAACGGCAATTCGTGATGTGTGCGTGTCCGCAGTTCCCTTTCTATACGATTCCGAGGCTTGCGCAGGGCCTTCAAGAGAGTCCTTGAATGCAAGAAACGACCAAGATGATATTACATGCGTTAGCCCATCAAGCCTAGCTAGAACTTAAGCGCGCGCGAAGCGCGCACTTTGGTTCTAGTGCGTGTGTGTATATATATATATAAAGTACTCGACGCGGATATCCACATACATATGCATCTCATAGTGATGGCAAACTTCGGTAGAAGACATTGACCGTTTCTCAATATCCGAGTGTCAGCGAATCCACGTGGAAAACGATGCCGACAGAGACGCTGACGACTACGACGACTTTAAGTTGTTGCTTCCTCCTTCCGTCCTCCTCCTCCTCCTTGTCCTCCTCCTCTTTTTGAAAACGGGCCCGTGAAATACCCCCTTGCGCCCCCCCTTTGGGAGTGCTGAAACCAGCGCCTCGCCTGAGACATCCTCGGAAACTGCTCCGAAAGAGAAAGATGTTGACCAAACAGGCAAACCGCCTGAGACATCCCCCCAATCTGGGCGCGAACGGGCCCGTGCAATACCCCCTGGCGCCCCCCCCTGGGAGTGCTGAAACCAGCGCCTCGCTTGAGACATCCGCGGGAACTGCCCCGAAAGAAAAGGATGGTGGGCACCCAATTAGGCAAACCGCCTGAGACATCCGCCCCAATCCGGCCGCGAACGGGCCTGTGATATACCCCCTGGCGCCGCCCCTGGCGAGTACTGAAACCAGCGCCTCGCCTGAGACATCCTCGGAAACTGCCCCGAAAGAGAAGGATGTCGGGCACCGAAACAGGCAAACCGCTCGAGACAACCCCCCCATGTTGGCGCGAACGGGCCCGTGCAATACCCCCTGGCGGCTCTCCCGTGGAGGCGAAAATGAACGCCTCGCTCGAGAAATCCTCCAAATCTGCTCCTTCTCCGCAATGGCGTCGGCTTGGGCGCGAGGGAATAAGATGATTTAATATTAATCGCTTCGCTCATGCCGCCGGCCCTGGAGCCCTCTTTAGGGCCTCTTGGGGGCCTCTTGGGGACCTCTTGGGAGTCTCTTGGGGCTCCTTGGCGGCGTTTTGGAGGCCCCCAGGGCCTCTTGGGGGGCTCTTGGGGGTAGTCGATTGCGGCTCCCCCCTCGGAGGCCACGATCCTCGTGAGGGGTGTCGAAAAATACCCTCCCCTGGAGTGGTCTGGTGGCTTCTCCCGGGCTTCTCTCGGGACCTTGCCGGGGTACTTTTCGTCCGGGGGCCCCCAGGGGCCGCTCCGCGCGCGCGAACTAGAAATATTGTTAACAAGTTACCGGAGATCTTAGCACGCCTCTGGCCCGTTGGGCCGGCGAATTCTTGGGGGGGCGACATCCAGCGACATACGTTTCCACGTATATTCGGTGGGCGTTCACCACGAATCGTGCAACCCCGAACAAACATTCGTGAA